AAATCTACTGAATGCACCACATGTTGGGACGGCTCTCTCAACAACAACAACACGTCCTGCTTGACAGTGGACAGTTCCTCATAGTCAGTAACAGACAGTGCATATCTGGGTTCATGAGATATTGTCTGAAGCTCTAAGGTGTCTGCATCACTCGTCCCGATGGCAACTATAGAAACACCCATTTCCTTCAGTAACCTCACTGAGGTTCTGATGTCGTCCCCAGATCGTCCTCCGCTCAGCAGCACTAGCATCTGTGGGACGCCCTGCCGGATCCGACTTCCTGACTCTGGAGTAAAGACGTGGTCTCTCACATACTGGAGAGCAGCTCCAATGTTTTTAGGATAACCTCCTTTGTGAGTCAGGCCATCAACCGCTTCCAGAACATCATCCTCAGTCATGAAGCGACTCAGGTTAAAATTAATCTCAGCGGTGCTGCTGTACTGGACCACAGCCAGATGGTCACCGTCAGGACCAATGCTCAAGTCTCTCACTATTCTCTGGACAAAATCTGTGATGTCTGGGAATCTTCGCTGAGAATCATCAGAGCCATCAATCAGAAACACGATGTCTCTGCTGCTGGGATCTGGAGCCAGATGAACCAGACAAGTTGGCTGATTCAGTGAACGGCCACCGATGAAAACTAAGCATTCATCAAGCTGTGGGCAAACTGTTAAAATCTTACCATCTGACGCTGTTGTGGCAACGTACTTCTGACTCGTCTGAATGGATGTGAGGATTTCTTGTTCAGTGTCTGATGTCACTGGAGTCTGCTGCAAGGAAAACTTGACTGGCTTCCTGGGTAATGGACTGCATCTCAAGGATGTCTGCATTCTTTATTCCCACCACAAATATCATCACACCAATTTCTTTTAGGTTTTCCGCAGCGCTCCTGACATCGTCATTTGAGCGTCCACTGGTCAGAAGAACCAGGGCCTGAGGGACTCCTTGTTGGCGTCTGCTTCCAGAGGAAGTTGTGAAAACATTTTCCTTGACGTAATTCAGAGCTGCCCCTGTGTTGCGCGACCTGCCTCCTTTGTGTCTGATGGTTTTTAAACCGTCGGCAGCGCTCTGCTGTGATTTGTGTGTGTTCAGGAGAAACTCGACAGAAGGTTCGTTGCTGTATTGAACCACAGAAACTTGATCTTTCCTCTCACCCACAGTGAGTTTCTCCACCATCTGCTCAATAAAGCCAAGCACTTGTGTGAAGTCGCTCAGCATTTCATCAGAGGAATCCATTAAAAACACAATGTCTCTGTGCATGAACTCTCTCTGTTGTGTGGAACCTTAACAGAAAACACAATGTGGAGTTGGTGCAGGTTCATCCTCAGAGATAGATGCTTGTTCCTTAAAATACAAACTGTCTTGTGGATTAAACTTTACAAACTCTTTAACGGATTAGTTTGTTCCACATTTTTAAGTCAATACAAATCTTTTAATGATCAATAATACAACTGAAGGACATGTTTCATCTCATATCAATCCAAACAGATAATATGTTTCTCTGTTTGCATAACCACTTTACAAAATAATAATGACAAATCTAATTTGTAACAAGTCCTATGAACGTTATTAGGAAGAATCTCTGCTGGGTTTCTGCTCCGTCCGTCACGCTGTGAACCGACGGTTCTCCTGGCTGTTGCCACTACCAACGTTTCAACTGTCATAGCGACTGTAAGCAAACTTTAGAAATGTCGCAAAAGAGAAGAAGAAGGAAACTGCGACTCCATCTACGCAGAGCGTGACTTCATCAGATGTTGACGCTGCGCACAGCTGGAATAAACAGGAAGTGGATCCACCACTGAACGGAAATGTCGCTACATCACAACTCATTTGGCTAAAGTGTTTTCAGCTCCTTTGACCCAATAACTTATGGTAAAGTACCTCTTATTTACCTTCAGTATTATCCATTAGTCACATCTGGTTTAGATAATCTACTCCTGTTCGCTGATAGCCTGAATATATGTAGACTTACAGTTTCAACATATTTAAAAAACCCTTCAAGGTCCATATTTAATATGTAATTTTTCTTTTGCTAAGCACTTTGAACGTCTGACGTGCAAAGACAATAAAGTTGGTCTATGCTATTCAAGTTTTTGAGCTCAAGTGAGCCGAGTTGTGAAGTTGAGGAAATTACATCTCATTTTGCTGTTTCCACCAAACTTTTCTAATGCAATACTTTAAAATGGACATAAAATCACTGATAGAAAAACAGCTTCTGATTTGAGTTCTGGTTCTGCTGGAGATTCGTTCCTGTTAAAGGAGAGTTTTTCCTCTCCACTGTCGTGACCTGCTGGTTCAGTGGATGCTCTGCTGGACACTTCAGTCCATTTTTATAACAAACTGAACTTGCTGCATTGTTTAACAACTCGAACGAACTGTCTCTGATTCCGTCTCGTCTGTCTCTGATTCCGTCCCGTCTGTCTCTGATTCCGTCCCGTCTGTCTCTGATTCCGTCTCGTCTGTCTCTGATTCCGTCCCGTCTGTCTCTGATTCCGTCCCGTCTGTCTCTGATTCCGTCCCGTCTGTCTCTGATTCCGTCTCGTCTGTCTCTGATTCCGTCTCGTCTGTCTCTGATTCCGTCCCGTCTGTCTCTGATTCCGTCCCGTCTGTCTCTGATTCCGTCTCGTCTGTCTCTGATTCCGTCCCGTCTGTCTCTGATTCCGTCTCGTCTGTCTCTGATTCCGTCCCGTCTGTCTCTGATTCCGTCCCGTCTGTCTCTGATTCCGTCCCGTCTGTCTCTGATTCCGTCTCGTCTGTCTCTGATTCCGTCTCGTCTGTCTCTGATTCCGTCCCGTCTGTCTCTGATTCCGTCCCGTCTGTCTCTGATTCCGTCCCGTCTGTCTCTGATTCCGTCCCGTCTGTCTCTGATTCCGTCCCGTCTGTCTCTGATTCCGTCCCGTCTGTCTCTGATTCCGTCCCGTCTGTCTCTGATTCCGTCCCGTCTGTCTCTGATTCCGTCCCGTCTGTCTCTGATTCCGTCTCGTCTGTCTCTGATTCCGTCTCGTCTGTCTCTGATTCCGTCCCGTCTGTCTCTGATTCCGTCTCGTCTGTCTCTGATTCCGTCTCGTCTGTCTCTGATTCCGTCCCGTCTGTCTCTGATTCCGTCCCGTCTGTCTCTGATTACGTTCCTGCTGTCAGACACAGCAGAGGACCCTGCAGACATTCACATTTACATTTTCTAACCTTGGACAACATTTTTTGTACCTGAGAAAATGTATTTTTACTGACTTAAAAACAGACCAAAGTGCATCATTATTTTAGTAAATGTGGGATGATTTAGTGCTTTAAGGGATGGTTGGATAAGCTACTGCCTGCTGAGCTCAGATTCAGAAAATGTTCTTACCTAAAACATTAAGTGCTCTTTCTCTGGGCTGTTGCCGTGGCACCCTTTGCACCAAAGACTCAAGCTGCTGACGAATGCTTCCAATGTCATCAAATGTAAGAACAGAGAAGGCATAGGATGGGTTATGAGCAATCGATTGGAGCTCTAAAATGTCGGCAGATTTTGTTCCGACACAGAAAGGGACAACTTTGTCCTTTTTCAGATCGGCGGCAGCTCTTGTGACATTGTCTCCGGATCTTCCCCCAGTCAACAGAATCAGGACCTGAGGGACGCCCTCCTGGTAGCGACTCCCTGAGGATTCTGCGAAAGCGTTCCTCCTCACCTGCTCCAGAGCTGCACCAGTGTTTCGGGGTCGGCCCCCTCTGTGGTCCAGCTGTCGGACTGCGTTAAGAACAGCTTGTTTGTCCGTGTAGGTGTTCAGACTGAAATGTGTTTGTTGATCTTGGCTGTACTGAACCACAGAAACACGGTCTTTGTTTTCACCAACAATGAGGGTTTCTACTACTTGTTGGACAAAAGTTTTCATTGCTGGGAAGCCACTCAGCGTGTCATCAGAGCCGTCCAACAGAAACACAATGTCTCTTTCAGGAGACTCTAGCTCCACTAGAAGAGAATGCAAGTTTTACGATTAGACACGATGATCAAAAGCTGCAAACAGTTTATAAGAGCAAAACCAGTTGGGAGTGAAAGACTAAGAAGCTTTTGCAGTAAAAAAGTATTCAGTACTTAAATACTTTGGGTAAATGTTTAATCAAGAAGAATCTTGTGAAACAAAGGAAATATTCATCTTTCTTAAATTAAAGATGGAGAGAAGCAACACATTTTATATTTTTCTAAACAGTAGAAAGAAACTGTACTTGCATAACGCTTTGAGTCCAGCGGACCTCAAAGCGCTTCACACTACATTCAGTCATTCACCCTTTTATGAATAATAATCTGTCAATGATGAGTTTATCATTGGCTCAAGGAAGAGCTGCAGAAGCAAGAGAAATCCTCTCCAAGGTCCGAGAAGAAAAATATTCAGAGCAAAACAAGAAACAATGCAACCGAGATGTTGCATCTTCCACAAGGAACAAAAAGCATGAAACTGATCTGAGGAAGAAGATGATGCAGTTTCTTTGGCATTAAGTCTGTGGTAGCGGGACACGAGAGGGAGGCTGTAAATCTGTGAGGCTTCTTACCCACAGCAGGCTGAGTTTGTACTTGAGTCTGGATGAACGCAGCCGTCTCAGGCTGAATGGACAGAAGCTCACTGAAGACAGGAAAGTTGAAAAGAAACCTGGAGGAGGAGGCAATTTTCTCAAGTTCCTCCTGGTCAGCACTTTTCATTCCAATGACGAAAGAAAAAACTCCAACTTGCTTCAGGCCCAAAGCAGCGCTGGACACATCGTCACTGGACGCACCACCGGTCAGCACGACCACCTGAGGGACGCCCTCCAGGCGCCTGCTGCCAGAGGACGCTGAAAAAACATGTTTTCGCACAAACTCCAGCGCAGCGCCGGTGTTACGGGTTCTTCCTCCTTTATGTCGAAGCGCCCTGATGGCATAGATAACTTCCTTTTTGGTTTTGTGGGTTGCCAGGCTAAAGTAAACCGTGGCATCATCACTGTACTGCACAACAGCTAACTGAACGCCATCTTTGCCAACATCCAGCTCTTCTGCCACTCTTCTGACAAACTCTCGGAAAGCTGGAAGTCCATTTCTGGAGTCGTCTGATCCGTCAAGGAGAAACACTACGTCCCTCTTACTGCTGAACATGTCAACTGGTTGATACACGGATAGAAAGGGTGGTTGGAAACGGAGGATTCGTGTCTTTATGTAAGGAATTATGTTTTTGTTATATATAGGACTACATGAAGCTCAATGAAGAATTAAAAAGAAAACAATAATTTAAAGGTTTTAGTGAGAATAATTACTACCTGAACAGAAAAAACTGAAATATTCCTGATTTCGTCCCAACCTTTGATTGACTTAATGAGGTTTCACTCGGCAATAGTTTTAAAGAAATAAAATATTGTTTACATTTGGTGTTCTTACCTACTAAGTCAGAAATCCCATTCTTGGTTTCCTGATTGTCTTGCTGTATGTTCAGTGCAGAGAGAACTTGTGTTTGGATTGAGTTTAAACTGGAAAAGTCAGTGACCTTGAATGCAAAGCCAGGTTTAAATTCAATCATTTCCAATTCTGCAAGGTTAGCGTCTGCCACTCCAACCCCGACTGCCACAATCTCATGTTCTTTCAGGGCAAATGCTGGTCCTTTCACACTGTCTGCAGACGCTTTGCTAGTGAGGAGGATCAAAGTCTGGGGCACCCCTTCCAGCCTCCTGCTGCCTGTGGACGACGTGAAGACCCTGTGCCTTACAAACTGAAGAGCGGCACCAACATTGAGTCGCCTCCCACCTTTGTGCGCTAAGTTATCAATGGCGTTCATGTTGTCGCTCTTTGTCTTGTGGGAATTTAGATGAAAGCCGACCGCGGGTCTGTCGGCAAACTGAACCACAGACACTCTGTCAAGGCCCTCGTCAACATACAGGCGTCCCACTATGTTTTTAACAAAACTCTTTATGTCTGTGAATCCGTCTCTGGTGTTATCAGACCCATGCAGGAACACAATATCTCTTTTTACAGCATCATTTTGCACTATGACACAGATAAAGTTCAGTTATTCTGGTCAAGCAGCAAACATGAGAAAAAAGCAGCGTTTCACACGGCAGCTTCATCGCACCGAGAAGGAAAGGTTGTCTGTCTTACCTTGCCGTAGGGCGGATTCCAGCTGGTCCTTCGATAGGGAAATATAGGTGTTGATGCTCGGCGATATGGGTTCCAGTTCCCTGAATTCCTTCACATTGAAAGCAAACGAAGGGTTGTGCGCTATGGCCTCAATCTGCTTCTTGTCTGCGTTCTTGACACCAACACCAAACGGTACAACTCCGTCCGTCTTCAGTTCCCCGGCGGGTCCCGTGACGCTATCCATGGATCTGTCTGCAGCCAAAACAATCAGAAACTGAGGGACGTTTTGAGCAGCGCGGCTGCCATTGCTGTCAGACATGATGGTGGACTTCATGTATCTCAGAGCGGCTCCTGTGTTCAGGCTGCGTCCGCCAGCCAGAGCCATCCCCTGAACAGCTCTTATCACCTCCTCTTTGGTTTGATAAGTGTTGAGGTAGAAGACCGGGTGGGTTTCTCACTGTGTTGAACCACAGAGACGCGAATTTTGTCAGTCCCTATGTCAAGTGGTTCAATCACTTTGAGGATGAAATCCCGAATGTAGGGGAAAAATCCTTGAACACTGTCAGTCCCATCAATCAGGAAGGCAACGTCTCTTTCACCTCCAGTAATCACCTCTGTGGGAAGGAAAAGAAGCCTGTTAGTGCGTCTTGCATTCATATATATTCAACTTTATCAGTGTTAAAAGAACATTTGGAGACTAACCTGTGTCACCAACTACAGTTATTATATTCTGCATCATATCATCGACCAAGGCTGGTAACTCAGAGAATCTCTGTTTGTGATAGGCCAGGTTTGGAATGAAGGCAATCTTTTTCAGTTCTTCTTGGTCAGCTTGCCCAGAACTCACTGTAAAAGTCAAAACATTTGCCAAAGCCAATCTATCAGCCTCGCTTCCAGCGTCATCCTGCAGGGGACCACCAGTGATCAGGATCAGCACTTGCACGGCACCCTGGAGTTTGCGTGACCCAACTGATGTCTGGAACATGTTGTCCAAAGCGTAACTCATGGCAGCTCCAGTATTCAGCACCGAGCCTCCGGTCAGCCTGAGTTGAGAGATTTTGTCCACGACGTCTCGGTTGTTGTTGTAGCTGTTCAGGTGAAATTCAATCCTTGGCCGCTCTGCGAACTGCATGAGTCCAATCTGGACCTGCTCAGGACTTATGTTCAGCTGATTGACGATGTTGATCATGAAGTCTCTCACAAATGGCAAGTTGCTGCTCCCCACGTAGTTTGATCCGTCCACAAGGAACACGATGTCTCGAAACACTCTCTGCACCGTGGTGATCACCGCTAAAGGAAAGCACAAAAAATGCAAATCTTATTGCAGGGCAACTTAACTAGCTTTTGTATCAGTAACTTTTAAACCATTTGTACCACAGGTGAGCAGCTGTGGTCCTCAGTGAGGTCATTCCTTATGTCCTTGTCTTTCCTTTAATAAATGTGATGCAATGTGAATAAAATCAGTTGAATTGAAATATGTATAGATTTGCTATTTTAAAGTGTAACTATAAACCCCTTGTGAAAATGTGGACAAAAATGAGGAAAACCTGCAGCAAAGTGGGCGGAGCCAAGCCACATTGAGGGCCAGTGCTGCAGATGAGGGAAACTTAGCACCTTTGTAGCAATGTTTAGCAACTATTTTCGCAAAAGCGACTATCGACGAATCTTTTCTGTTGCTGGAGACTTTTATGGCAACAACACATGAAATCAGCAGCGACTGTGCAGCAGCTGAGCCTGACCCTGTGAGCCCCTCCCTGGTCCGCGGGGCAGAGCCGACCCGTTCCACTCCATCTCCATATTACTCACACATGAAGCAGAGGAACGCCACCAGGTGGCAAATCATGAATTGTAATATTTTATTCCAGAGCATGGGGCTGAGATGACATCAACCAAGCTGGACCGTGTGAACAAACCGGATCTTTTTTAAAAATGGCACAAATTGCACAGAAAGATGAAGATATAACCCTGAAGGGTTTATATCTTTGGTGAGCATATCTGCATAGAAATGTGGATTTGGGGTTTAGTTTCTCTTTTAACACTTCAAATTAAGAGGGTTGTGTTGAAACTGGAAAACAACCATCCAGATTCACCCAAGTGAATTTTGTTCAAAGTGCCTTTTCTTTCATTTTTATTGGCTGGGATGTTACAGTTTTTGCTCATTGACCAATTTTGCGAAGGTGGTTAGGAAAATGAGGAATTACCTGGATCAGTGGGGGATTCAACCACCACCGTCCCAGAAAGCGTTGAGAGGGCGTCGGTTATCTCCCTGGCGTTGCGAAACAGTTGTCTGAAGTCCTTTGCCATGAACACCATGCTATCAGAAAAGGCGATCTGTTTCATCTCGTCCTCAACGGCAGCCCTGGAGCCCGCGGCCAGCGCCAGAACGCCCAGCTTCTGCAGAGCCTGAGCCGGCCCCGCCACGCTGTCGCTGGACTGCTTGCTGACAATCAGCAACAGGAGCTGAGGGACGTTGCGGCTGATGCGGCTGCCCTTCTCAGGCCTCAGCATGTTGAGCCGCACAAAGTCCAAGGCGGCTCCGATGTTGATGGTCTGTCCCGATCTGGCTCTGATGGCTGCCAAACTGCTGAGCAGCGATTCTTTGGTCCCGTGGGTTTGGAGGTCCATGACCAGCCTGGTGTCGGTGGCGAACTGGGCGATGCCCACTTGGACTGCGTTGGGACCGATTTCCTTGGTGCTGACGAAGCGCCGGATGTATTCCCGCACAGTGTTGATGACGGCCGTTCCCATTGTGCTGTCGATCAGGAAAATGATGTCTCGTTCTCCAACCGTTACGACTGAAAACAGAAAAAAGAATAAATGTCGATCTGCACATGTGAAGCAGAACGTTTTTATTAACACCTCCAAATGTGCAATTTACAGATTTTATTGTATTTTAATATCTTTAGCATTCTAAAAATCAAGTTTAATGCTGAAGCCATTCAAATCATATCTGATATTAAAACTACAACCTTTAAAAATCAACATAATTTTCAGATGATATAAATGTTTCATAAAGCTCTTATTGTTGTTTGTATTGTTCTCTATTTTATTTGGTTCCTGTATGTTTATTGTTTTAAATGGTTATTGGGAGGAAACATAATTGAAGTCTTCAGCCACTTCAAATTAAGAGCATGAATATAAACATCAAGCTACTTGAATTTTTAATATAATCAAAACTTTAAAACAGATTTTGAACTTTATTCAGCTGAAAGTTTATAAAACAGCCAAGCAAATTAATGCTTTTGAATTTATCTGTAAAATTATCTCAAGTGTGTTGAAGGTTTACAGTGTTGGCAAAATGCTAAATGAGGAATTAGCATTTTAGCAGCAGCGTGTGCAGCTCTGTCTCTTTGTTGGCATTAATTTATCCCCGTAGATCATGAACTGATGGCATATTGTGTCTCAATGTTTGTGTCTCAATCTGTGAGCTGAGGCTCTGTGCTCCTTCATCCTCCTCTTCCTCTCTGATGAAGGTTGAACTGGTTTAGATTCATGTGTTCATCTATTCTGGTCCCAGCTGTACTCACAGTTTCATTCATTTTAAATGATATTTCTGTTTTTAGATATTGTAAATAATCTGTCTTCTGAATCTGCAAGTGCAAATTTTATGCATCTAAATTAAGAAAAGTCATCCTACTGAGTTGTACCTTTAATCTGATTTATTTCTGATAACTACAGTATTTTTGTGTTTTAATCTATACAGTATAAATCAATGTTATTATTATTCTTGTTTATATATATTTTAACACTTGTGTGAATCTACACACCTTGATGAATTTTGCCTATGTTTGACTGATAAAGGATATTTTCGTTCTATCTGGTCACATGAGCAACAGACGCCATTAAAACTTCTCTGCTGTCTGCAGTCAGAAAACAGGAAGTGACATCATGCTGTCACCAGTTTCTCTGTCCATTGCTGGTTGTTATGTGAACTTAACAGCAGAATTACAGGAATCCTGACATTATTCATCTTAACCTACCTGAATCTGTCAAACAGTTCATGAAACCCTCCGGCTTTACAAACCCCAACCCACCAACACCAGAAGAAGTTACATACCTTCAGTGAATTCATTGTGAAATATAATGGAGCGCGTCGCCAAGCCGTTAATGTAGCCATAGACATTTTCATCTGCGGAGGTCAGATCTCTGAAACTGTCAGCTTTCACCACAAAGCTTTTATCTGTGGCCACCTCTTCCAGCTCTGCAGCAGCATCGGCACCGACCGCCACCCCTAAAGTGACCACACCGGCCCTGATGAGGGCCCGGTGGCCGGCGCCGGTGTCGTCACTGGACGCTCCGGCACTGATGACCACCAAAACCTGGGGCGCGCCCTCCTCTGCCCGGCCTCCGGCCGACTCGCCCAGCAGGCTGTCAGCCACCTCCTCCAGGGCCGCCCCCAGGTTGGACTCATCATCGCCCGAGAAGCTCAGGCCCTTCACCGCCTCCAGGACCGACGACTTCTCATAATAGCTATTCAGATAGAACTTTATTTGTGGGTCGGTGTTGTACTGGACCAAAGCCACCCTAATGCCATCCCTGCCCACAGACAGGCGCTCAACGATTCTCGTAACCAAATCACGCACATAGGGGAAGTTAGCTGCTCCAACGTTCAGTGATCCATCAATTAAGAATATTAGGTCAGATGAATCTGGTGCTTTAAGGAGAGAAAGAGAAAAAACAGAACAAATGGAAATAGTGAAAGCAAATAATCTAGTGAGACAAAGACATCAACTGAGTTAGAAAATCACTGCATGTGTGACAAAACATCATACTGCATGTAGGCTGAACCAAGGAGGGTCCCTAAACTGTTTGCTCAGGTTTTTAGATCAGCAGCCCTCCTACCACAGTTTGGCTGTTTCCATGACGATAAACATCCCTGTCCACAGATCCATGTGTGAAAACACATGACTATAATGTAGAAAGTATTTTAGATGTTGCCTAACACAACGCTCTGAGGAGCACCTTCTGTGGAAACTCACACTGAACTGCTGCTGTCCTGGGGTAACCTGTCTTGGGGTAACCTGTCCTGGGGTAACCTGTCCTGGGGTAACCTGTTCTGGGGTAACCTGTCCTGGGGTAACCTGTCCTGGGGTAACCTGTCCTGGGGTAACCTGTTCTGGGGTAACCTGTCCTGGGGTAACCTGTCCTGGGGTAACCTGTCTTGGGGTAACCTGTCCTGGGGTAACCTGTCTTGGGGTAACCTGTCTTGGGGTAAACTGTCCTGGGGTAACCTGTCCTGGGGTAACCTGTCCTGGGTAACCTGTCCTGGGGTAACCCGTCCTGGGGTAACCTGTCCTGGGGTAACCTGTCTTGGGGTAAACTGTCCTGGGGTAACCTGTCCTGGGGTAACCTGTCCTGGGGTAACCTGTCCTGGGGTAACCCGTCCTGGGGTAACCCGTCCTGGGGTAACCTGTCCTGGGGTAACCCGTCCTGGGGTAACCTGTCTTGGGGTAACCTGTCCTGGGGTAACCTGTCTTGGGGTAACCTGTCTTGGGGTAAACTGTCCTGGGGTAACCTGTCCTGGGGTAACCTGTCCTGGGGTAACCTGTCCTGGGGTAACCTGTCCTGGGGTAACCTGTCTTGGGGTAACCTGTCTTGGGGTAACCTGTCCTGGGGTAACCTGTCCTGGGGTAAACTGTCCTGGGGTAACCTGTCCTGGGGTAACCTGTCCTGGGGTAACCTGTCTTGGGGTAACCTGTCCTGGGGTAACCTGTCCTGGGGTAACCTGTCCTGGGGTAACCTGTCTTGGGGTAACCTGTCTTGGGGTAACCTGTCCTGGGGTAACCTGTCCTGGGGTAACCTGTCCTGGGGTAACCTGTCTTGGGGTAACCTGTCCTGGGGTAACCTGTCCTGGGGTAACCTGTCTTGGGGTAACCTGTCCTGGGGTAACCTGTCCTGGGGTAACCTGTCTTGGGGTAACCTGTCTTGGGGTAACCTGTCCTGAGGTAACCTGTCCTGGGGTAACCTGTCCTGGGGTAACCTGTCCTGGGGTAACCTGTCCTGGGGTAACCTGTCTTGGGGTAACCTGTCCTGGGGTAACCTGTCCTGGGGTAACCTGTCTTGGGGTAACCTGTTCTGGGGTAACCTGTCCTGGGGTAACCTGTCCTGGGGTAACCTGTCTTGGGGTAACCTGTTCTGGGGTAACCTGTCCTGGGGTAACCTGTCCTGGGGTAAACTGTTCTGGGGTAACCTGTCCTGGGTAACCTGTCCTGGGGTAACCTGTCCTGGGGTAACCCGTCCTGGGGTAACCTGTCTTGGGGTAAACTGTCCTGGGGTAACCTGTCCTGGGGTAACCTGTCCTGGGGTAACCTGTCCTGGGGTAACCTGTCTTGGGGTAACCTGTCCTGGGGTAACCTGTTCTGGGGTAAACTGTCCTGGGGTAACCTGTCCTGGGGTAACCTGTCCTGGGGTAACCTGTCCTGGGGTAACCTGTCTTGGGGTAACCTGTCCTGGGGTAACCTGTCTTGGGGTAACCTGTCCTGGGGTAACCTGTCTTGGGGTAACCTGTCCTGGGGTAACCTGTCCTGGGGTAACCTGTCCTGGGGTAACCTGTCCTGGGGTAACCTGTCCTGGGGTAACCTGTCTTGGGGTAAACTGTCCTGGGGTAACCTGTCCTGGGGTAACCTGTCCTGGGGTAACCTGTCCTGGGGTAACCTGTTCTGGGGTAACCTGTCTTGGGGTAACCTGTCTTGGGGTAACCTGTCCTGGGGTAACCTGTCCTGGGGTAACCTGTCCTGGGGTAACCTGTCTTGGGGTAAACTGTCCTGGGGTAACCTGTCCTGGGGTAACCTGTCCTGGGGTAACCTGTCCTGGGGTAAACTGTCCTGGGGTAACCTGTCCTGGGGTAACCTGTCCTGGGGTAACCTGTCCTGGGGTAACCTGTCTTGGGGTAACCTGTCCTGGGGTAACCTGTCCTGGGGTAACCTGTTCTGGGGTAACCTGTCCTGGGGTAAGCTGTCCTGGGGTAACCTGTCCTGGGGTAACCTGTCTTGGGGTAACCTGTCCTGGGGTAACCTGTTCTGGGGTAACCTGTCCTGGGGTAACCTGTCCTGGGGTAACCTGTCTTGGGGTAACCTGTCCTGGGGTAACCTGTCTTGGGGTAACCTGTCTTGGGGTAAACTGTCCTGGGGTAACCTGTCCTGGGGTAACCTGTCCTGGGGTAACCTGTCCTGGGGTAACCCGTCCTGGGGTAACCTGTCCTGGGGTAACCTGTCTTGGGGTAAACTGTCCTGGGGTAACCTGTCCTGGGGTAACCTGTCCTGGGGTAACCTGTCCTGGGGTAACCCGTCCTGGGGTAACCCGTCCTGGGGTAACCTGTCCTGGGGTAACCCGTCCTGGGGTAACCTGTCTTGGGGTAACCTGTCCTGGGGTAACCTGTCTTGGGGTAACCTGTCTTGGGGTAAACTGTCCTGGGGTAACCTGTCCTGGGGTAACCTGTCCTGGGGTAACCTGTCCTGGGGTAACCCGTCCTGGGGTAACCTGTCTTGGGGTAAACTGTCCTGGGGTAACCCGTCCTGGGGTAACCTGTCCTGGGGTAACCTGTCTTGGGGTAAACTGTCCTGGGGTAACCTGTCCTGGGGTAACCTGTCCTGGGGTAACCTGTCCTGGGGTAACCTGTCTTGGGGTAACCTGTCCTGGGGTAACCTGTCCTGGGGTAACCTGTTCTGGGGTAACCTGTCCTGGGGTAAGCTGTCCTGGGGTAACCTGTCCTGGGGTAACCTGTCTTGGGGTAACCTGTCCTGGGGTAACCTGTCCTGGGGTAACCTGTCCTGGGGTAACCTGTCTTGGGGTAACCTGTCCTGGGGTAACCTGTCCTGGGGTAAACTGTCCTGGGGTAACCTGTCCTGGGGTAACCTGTCCTGGGGTAACCTGTCTTGGGGTAACCTGTCCTGGGGTAACCTGTCCTGGGGTAACCTGTCCTGGGGTAACCTGTCTTGGGGTAACCTGTCTTGGGGTAACCTGTCCTGGGGTAACCTGTCCTGGGGTAACCTGTCCTGGGGTAACCTGTCTTGGGGTAACCTGTCCTGGGGTAACCTGTCCTGGGGTAACCTGTCTTGGGGTAACCTGTCCTGGGGTAACCTGTCCTGGGGTAACCTGTCTTGGGGTAACCTGTCTTGGGGTAACCTGTCCTGAGGTAACCTGTCCTGGGGTAACCTGTCCTGGGGTAACCTGTCCTGGGGTAACCTGTCCTGGGGTAACCTGTCTTGGGGTAACCTGTCCTGGGGTAACCTGTCCTGGGGTAACCTGTCTTGGGGTAACCTGTTCTGGGGTAACCTGTCCTGGGGTAACCTGTCCTGGGGTAACCTGTCCTGGGGTAACCTGTTCTGGGGTAACCTGTCCTGGGGTAACCTGTCCTGGGGTAAACTGTTCTGGGGTAACCTGTCCTGGGTAACCTGTCCTGGGGTAACCTGTCCTGGGGTAACCCGTCCTGGGGTAACCTGTCTTGGGGTAAACTGTCCTGGGGTAACCTGTCCTGGGGTAACCTGTCCTGGGGTAACCTGTCCTGGGGTAACCTGTCTTGGGGTAACCTGTCCTGGGGTAACCTGTTCTGGGGTAAACTGTCCTGGGGTAACCTGTCCTGGGGTAACCTGTCCTGGGGTAACCTGTCCTGGGGTAACCTGTCTTGGGGTAACCTGTCCTGGGGTAACCTGTCTTGGGGTAACCTGTCCTGGGTAACCTGTCTTGGGGTAACCTGTCCTGGGGTAACCTGTCCTGGGGTAACCTGTCCTGGGGTAACCCGTCCTGGGGTAACCTGTCCTGGGGTAACCTGTCTTGGGGTAAACTGTCCTGGGGTAACCTGTCCTGGGGTAACCTGTCCTGGGGTAACCTGTCCTGGGGTAACCTGTCCTGGGGTAACCTGTTCTGGGGTAACCTGTCTTGGGGTAACCTGTCTTGGGGTAACCTGTCCTGGGGTAACCTGTCCTGGGGTAACCTGTCCTGGGGTAACCTGTCTTGGGGTAAACTGTCCTGGGGTAACCCGTCCTGGGGTAACCTGTCCTGGGGTAACCTGTCTTGGGGTAAACTGTCCTGGGGTAACCTGTCCTGGGGTAACCTGTCCTGGGGTAACCTGTCCTGGGGTAACCTGTCTTGGGGTAACCTGTCCTGGGGTAACCTGTCCTGGGGTAACCTGTTCTGGGGTAACCTGTCCTGGGGTAAGCTGTCCTGGGGTAACCTGTCCTGGGGTAACCTGTCTTGGGGTAACCTGTCCTGGGGTAACCTGTCTGGGGTAACCTGTCCTGGGGTAACCTGTCTTGGGGTAACCTGTCCTGGGGTAACCTGTCCTGGGGTAAACTGTCCTGGGGTAACCTGTCCTGGGGTAACCTGTCCTGGGGTAACCTGTCTTGGGGTAACCTGTCCTGGGGTAACCTGTCCTGGGGTAACCTGTCTTGGGGTAACCTGTCTTGGGGTAACCTGTCCTGGGGTAACCTGTCCTGGGGTAACCTGTCCTGGGGTAACCTGTCTTGGGGTAACCTGTCCTGGGGTAACCTGTCCTGGGGTAACCTGTCTTGGGGTAACCTGTCCTGGGGTAACCTGTCCTGGGGTAACCTGTCTTGGGGTAACCTGTCTTGGGGTAACCTGTCCTGAGGTAACCTGTCCTGGGGTAACCTGTCCTGGGGTAACCTGTCCTGGGGTAACCTGTCTTGGGGTAACCTGTCCTGGGGTAACCTGTCCTGGGGTAACCTGTCTTGGGGTAACCTGTTCTGGGGTAACCTGTCCTGGGGTAACCTGTCCTGGGGTAACCTGTCTTGGGGTAACCTGTTCTGGGGTAACCTGTCCTGGGTAACCTGTCCTGGGGTAAACTGTTCTGGGGTAACCTGTCCTGGGGTAACCTGTCCTGGGGTAACCTGTCCTGGGGTAACCTGTCCTGGGGTAACCTGTCTTGGGGTAACCTGTCCTGGGGTAACCTGTCCTGGGGTAACCTGTCCTGGGGTAACCTGTCCTGGGGTAACCTGTCTTGGGGTAACCTGTCCTGGGGTAACCTGTTCTGGGTAAACTGTCCTGGGGTAACCTGTCCTGGGGTAACCTGTCCTGGGGTAACCTGTCCTGGGGTAACCTGTCTTGGGGTAACCTGTCCTGGGGTAACCTGTTCTGGGGTAAACTGTCCTGGGGTAACCTGTCCTGGGGTAACCTGTCCTGGGGTAACCTGTCTTGGGGTAACCTGTCCTGGGGTAACCTGTCCTGGGGTAACCTGTCTTGGGGTAACCTGTCCTGGGGTAACCTGTCCTGGGGTAACCTGTCCTGGGGTAATTTGTCGTGAAGTGAGCTCCGTTGCGTTCAGCCTCTCATGCAGACTCTTGTTACAGACCTGAGGTGAGCTGACCAGTCATGAACCTGCGGTCCTCCCAGCTTCCTGCTGCAGAATCTTACATCTGATTCAGTCCCATTTCATTCAGACCTCATTGGTTCAGGTGATGCTGGACCAATGAGGTTAAAGTGATTGAAAGGAATCCCATTTCCTTTCAAGCACTGTATATTTTAACTCCCCCTCTAGTGGCCAGGTTCAGTACTGCAGCAGGTCGCGGTTGGTTCCTGTCAGGTTCATAGCTGTTTCATTTCCTGAACATGTTTCACAGAGACATTGTGGCTGATAAAGACAGACAAACATGTGCAGGACACATAAGCAGTGGTGTGTGGTTAGCTTTGGTTAGGAGCTCCATGATTTCAGGTTGGGACGTTTTCAAAGTAAAAGCCTCCAGGAATTGAGGCTTCCATCAAGATCAGATCAAGTTGTGTTTAATCTGAGGAATTTCAAAATCTTTCTGCTGTTTATGATCTACAAACTGAAACTTCATCAGAAAGCAGTCGACTTGTTTGTGGAAAGGACTGATCCCTGTGGTGCGCCACAAACAAGCGTCAGGGCAAACTACCTGATATTTCTCTTCTTATTTCAGGTTAACGTTTTTAGATTTCATCTGATTATTTATTCTAGATGCCAATAAAAACCCAGCAGATTTTCCTTCAAACTCACTTTCTTGCTAAAAAGTCCTGACTAGCCTAAAATGTTCTGAAGCTCAATGAGGACGTGTCAGATTTAATTCAGATTGACTCGGGTTTTCCCTTCCGTCATTTTTCAACCACAATTACCAACATTTATCTAACTTGGTTAATATTTGGCTACAGACTAATATTAGTGAAACAAAGAGTACTGTCTTCAAGCATTTAGTTTGTAGACAGTAGTTTTCTTGCTAATTAAATAAATATAAATCCAGTAACAACATTTATAAATTAATAACTAACTTTTTAATGTATGTTTTGTGAATGTTTGTTAATGTGATTTCTTCATTTATAATGTCTTTTGGTTGTTTGGGTCTTCCTGTCTTGGGACTACAGATGGAAATGAGCGAATATGCTATAATCTGGCTCATTTACAGTCTGTACAGAAGTATGATTGTTCATTAATGTGTCCCTAATAAATTAAACAAACAAATGAATATCTTGCCAACTTCTTCTTGTTATGAAAATGTTGCTGTCAATGTTTGACTGTAATTTTGGTTTCTGATAATAGTTCAGTATAAGTTAGAAAGCACTGGCTGGTTCTGTTGGTTCTTAAAGCGGTCCGTCTGGGAACCTCTCGGTTCCAGTACCGGAACCGGTGACTTCGTCTAAAGTTCCTATGAGTTCTGGTAGACGGGGATTGAAGTCACTTCAGCTCCGTTCCTCTGAGACGTTTTGGGGATTATTCCGTAAGTTTTGGAAAATCACGCGGTAGTTTCCAAGACGTGTCGTATAAACTCTGTAAAAGTGACTGTTAGTTGCAGAAAATAACCTGTTAGCACCAGGACAGTATGAGTTGCACTCGGCATCAGGTTAATGTTGCAGGTGGAAACGTTATGGTGCTAAAATCGAATTAAAAACTGGGCGGTGTTAATCGGAGGTTCCTGATCTCAGCAGCAGCTTCTTCCTGCACATGTGGGCAGGTTAGTGTGGTAGTTGAGGTGGGACCGTTGGTTACCTGTCCCTCGTCCAGCCACCGGGGCCTCATTGGCCAGCAGAGGGCCCCCACCCCTCACTGCACCGCACACACTCACTACCAAATCTTGAATTATGTCCCGCAACTTGAGGAAGGAGTCTACATTGAACATGTGCGTTTCCTGTGGCTGGCTGGCCAGCTCCCGGAGCTCCCAGTCCACCGCGTCCTGAACGCCGACTGCAAACACCTCCACGCCCGCCGTGCGCAGCGCCTGAGCCGGCTCGGCCACGTCGTCCTGCGAGCGCCCGTCGGTCAGCACCAGCACCACCTGGGCCGCCCCGTCAGCCGCGCGGCTCCCCGCCGCAGACGTCAGGTGTGTTCGGATCAGGAAGTCCAGGCCCAGGCCGGTCCGGGTGCCGCCGCCCAGGTGCGACATGGCCTTGACGTGTGCCAGGACGTCCGGCGCCGTTGGGTAGGTGTTGAGGTGGAACTCGGTTCGGGGCCTGCTATTGTACTGCGTGAGGGCGAATTTAAACCTCCCTCCTCCAACCTGGTGCAGCGATTTGATCAGGCTGTACAGAAACGTTCTGATCAGGTCAAAGTTCTCCGGCCCCATGCTCCACGACGAATCCACTAGAAAGTACACATCAGCTGCCGAGCCTCGTGCACAGTCTTCAGAGAAGAGCGTCAGAGGACAGAAGACCGAGAAAAGACACTGGGTGTGTTTCTTATGTGACAATGTTTCACATTAAACTGACTGTTCAGCTGCCCAGAACATTTCACTCTGCTCTCTTTGAGTTATCAATCCTCTGATCAATCAGGTAAGATGATCATATTGGTAAACTTTACAACCAGCTTCACAAAAAGTCCATGAAAATTTAAATAACGATGATTGTTTGTGATTTTTTGTCAACTTCAGTTTCAGTCGTTTCATTTATTTTACATTCACTTTCATAAAATGCAAGTTTTTATTTAAAGTTCTCATCATCAACTGTTTTGTAAACTCAGCTGAAGGAGGAAAGGTGAAGAAAAGGTGAGATGGTTCTTCTTACCGTCCTGAGCATGGAGTTCAGGGGGGAACAGCGCCCCCAGGAGGACACACAGGGGCAACAAGCGCTGCCACCCATCTTCAGGTGAAACTGACACACACAGCTGAGAAACAGAAAAAGTCATCAGGACGACTCTGAGCAGCTCAGGGAAACATGAAAACATTAACTTCATTTTCTGCTATCAGTTTGGCATTTGAGAAGTTTCTGGTCTTTAACTATTTCTGTTTACATTTACTGTTATAATTCAACCCACAACCCTGAAGCAAAGCATCTTCCACAGTCCAAACAAAACAGAAAAAAAAACACATTTCTTTGTTCCAGAAAGTTTTCAAGTTCCATAAATTAAACTAAGTTCTCGTTTTGTTCCTGAAGGCAACACGGTGCTTCCAGTAAGTAGCAAGTGATAGCAGAGCTAGCGCTAAAACTACGCTGCAGGTTCTGGAAAATATGCTATAAAAAGATTGTAGGTGACCAGACGTAAATTAGCCCACATGTTTCATAAAACCTCCAGCATGTTTCAGAAAGACTTTGGAAAGTCGCCACATAAAACAGAATCCTGCAGTTTTAGGAATGTCATTTGAATATTTCCCACAACATCTTGTAAGGAAAGTCACACGATACAAGTCTCCACAATCTGATCCCTGAAAGTTTTGTGTTAGTTTGACAAGTTCTGTGTAGAAGCAAGAAAAGATCCCTGAAAGTCACAGAAAGCTCTGGAAAGTGTCTGAGAGTAATGGGAAATAGTCGATACCTATATTGGGAAATGTAGCCACGTACGTTTAGAAAGGTCACAGGTCACAGGTGCAGCCTGTAGGTTTAGAGAACCTGAACGTTCCACAAAGGAACATTTTCTGTGTCACATGATGAGAACACCTGATTGTAAAATGTCTGATATGATTCAAGAGCTTGTGGAAAGTGACCTGTAGGTTCTGACCAGGAAGAGCCACATCCTGTTTCCATGTTTCTCTCTAAAAAACATCGTAAAAATGAAATAATGTGAATTCAGTCTGGAGCGAATCCAGAGCGGATCGTAAACAGGAACTTCCTGGTTGGTGTCGGACGGCTGTGACGGTTCTGTCTGCTGATGCTGCAGGATGTTTGGAGACAAACAGACAACAGGAACCAGCTGCTCCGTCATGTGACGTAAACATTCACTACATCAGATTTTATTCTGCAAAGTTTCCAATGAAATGTTTTCCAATTTCTCCATTTCCATGAAGCTTTTCTATTGCGATATCTAATCATAACTAAAGAAACGTTGATGGAAACACGGCGCTGCGTCGCCAGACGAACCGATTGGGTCAGAACTGTGAGGTTCGGATCGCTCCCTGTTGGAAAGTATCTGGATTCCCAGAGAAAGCTGTCAGTCTGGGGAACGCGCCTCCATGTTTGGAGAAATTTAGATGAGAATCTTTGAGTTTGATGTTTTATCTGCTTATAATCAGGCATTTATGCATTGAGCCGGGAGTCTGTGGTGTGAGGCAGAGCGGGTTCGGTAGTCAGAGGGCGATGATTGGAAGCAGCTGCTCGAGCTGCCAGATGGAGAAGTTTAGTAATGGGGTCTCCAGGGAAACGCTGGACTTTCCTCTCACATTATTCTGTTTTTTAAGAGAACTGCTCAGCTTCACTGCAGGCTGCTGCTGCTTGCAGGAGACTCACTTTTTCCTACAGCGGGATGTGAAGTCATGTCCCAGGAAATAAAAGAGCTCTTTCTACTTCTTTTCAGACAAAATTAAACCTTCACACCGATAGCCAAGGCCTGGCATTTCTAACGCTTTTTAAAATAAATTTATTCCTTTTACTTCCTAAAACAAACCAAAGTTCTGCTTGCAATCAGCAGATGTGATTTTAGCCATTAGGAGGAGTTTTTATGAGGCAGTAAAAGCGAAATGTTGGCCGCGGTTTTAGAGTAAAGATGTTTCATAGTAACAGCACAAGTAAAAGTGATGCTGCGGGACGACGAGTCGGCATAGGTCTGCTGAGAAACAGAGATTTGGATCTTTATTGGTTTCTCAGCAGAGCAGAGTTTCCATTTGCTGCTTGGAAACAAGTGCTGACCTCTAGTGGACACTCAGGGAAACAGCAGCTGTGATTCCTCATCAGGATGCTAAGTACGGTAGCGGCACCTAGCAGGAGCTAATTCGAAAGCGCTAACTTCAAATTATTTCTGTCCTTGAAAGACAACAAAGACTGTGATTATTTATTTTACATCTTACTGTCTGTCTTGTTTCTTCTTTTTCATAAAGCTAATGGGTCCAACAGAACCGCTGCATTAATAGTCTTCTCCCTTCAAAATGAGAAGTTCAATGTTGATGTTTTGGATTTTCTAAACCGTCTATAACTAACATGTCAACACAGATGTTGAACTTTAAATGGAAACTTTGCAAACTTTAGAATTTATTGAGGAAATGAAGTTTAGGGTTAGCTAAATGCGCTAAAACGTTTTCAAGGTTAGCAAACACGCTAAGGCGCTAAGCTAAAAATTAGCTCCTCTTTTAGAGGTTAGCAGGAGTTCTGCTGGTTGTTTCAGTTGTTGGTTCTAATCCGGTCAGATTAAAACTTTCAACTTCAAACATTTTTATTCATGAACAGCTGATGAGACCTCCATGTTTGTTACGTAACGATGGAAAGAAGAGCTGGATGTCTGAGTAAACCAACACACACACACACACTACACACACACACACACACACCTACACACACACACACACCTACACACACACACACACACACACCTACACACACACACGCACACCTACACACACACACACACCTACACACACACACACACCTACACACACCCACACACACACCTACACACACACACACACACACCTACACACACACACACACACCTACACACACCCACACACCTACACACACACACACACACCTACACACCACCCACACCCACCTACACACACACACACACACACACCTACACACACACGCACACACACACACCTACACACACCCACACCCACCTACACACCTACACACACACACACACACACACACCCACCTACACACACACACACACACACACACCTACACACACACGCACACACACACACCTACACACACACGCACACACACACCTACACACACACACCCCACACACACGCACACACACACACACCTACACACACACACACACACACACACACACATCCATCAGCCCACCAGCTGCAGGCCTTCTAAGGCCGGACGTTTCGGCTCCTGCAGCCGCTGCAAACACAGAGACTCATCAGAACTGGATCAAACAGCTGGTTCTGGTTCTGGTTCCGGTTCTGCTCTGCTTCCAGAACCAGAACCAGTCCAACCAAAATGTGGAACAAACTTTCAGAAAACAGCAATGTTTTCATGGCATAAACATTTTGAGCTACTGAACAGAACCAGAACCTGAACCTGAACAGAACCAGAACCTGAACCTGAACAGAACCAGAACCTGAACACAAGATGAACAGAACCAGAACCTGAACTCCAGATTTTCCCTGCCAGCAGCCAAACAATCTTTATTCCTTTAAACGGATCCAGCTCTGTTTCTCTCTGGTCCAGAACCAGTTTCAGCTTTTCTCTAGTAAATGCCTGACCTTTGACCTGTGAGTCACTCATGAATAAAAGTTCTGTGATTGGATGAACAAACCAGTTGGGACAGAAACGCTGAGAGAAAGAAACTTTGTTCCAGTTTTCAGGAATTTAAAAGACCCACAAAAGCTTCTGAACTGAGTCAGCGAGACGGAGCGGCTCGGTTCTGATCCGATGAACCACAAACCCAACGGCTGCAGGGCCACATGTGTGCTGCAGATGCTGCAGGATGAAGGTCATGAGGATGAGGAGGAGGCTGACATCTGGAGCGACGGTGGGACACTGCCAGCAGCCAATCAGAGCCAGCAGCCAATCAGAGCCAGCAGCCAATCAGAGCCAGCAGCCAATCAGAGCCAGCAGCCAATCAGAGCCAGCAGCCAATCAGAGCCAGCAGCCAATCAGAGCCAGCAGCCAATCAGAGCCAGCAGCCAATCAGAGCCAGCAGCCAATCAGAGCCAGCAGCCAATCAGAGCCAGGTTCATAAATTATCAGCAGAGACAAAACTATTTTTACTGCTTTGTTTTCAAACTGCAGCTGCATCAAAACATGAAACCATGGAAACCATGAAACCATGGAAACCATGGAAACCATGAAACCATGGAAACCATGAAACCATGGAAACCATGGAAACCATGGAACCATGGAAACCATGGAAACCATGAAACCATGGAAACCATGGAAACCATGGAACCATGGAAACCATGGAACCATGGAAACCATGGAACCATGGAAACCATTGTTGCCATGAGCACAAAACCTGACGTTTCTTCATGATGCTGAAAACAGAAACAGTTTAACTTTCAGCTTCTGTGACCATCAGCTGCTTCCAACCAGACCAACCAGGAGCCCATGACTCAAAACCTGGCCCAGTAAAACCAGTAGAACCAGTAAAACCAGTAGAACCAGTAAAACCAGTAGAACCAGTAAAACCAGTAGAACCAGTAAAACCATCCCAGTGGTCTGGGAGTGTCTTCCTGTGCTGACTCAGGGTGTGGCAGCTGCAGCAGCAGCAGTAGCAGTAGCTGCTGCAGCTGCTGTGGAAACTTGTTCCTGAGCCTCAGAGTTTTTCTTGCTGCTCGTTACGGATCAGCGCCGCAGCAGAACCATGGAGGTTCAAGCATCTGCTGGTTTTACCGTCTGCAGCAGAACTTCCTCCTCTTCACCTCTTGGCCTGACCTCAACCCAAAGTACAGCTTTCAGCGCTAAACGCTCGCTGCCGCGTCTTTTATGGGCTATAAACCAGAAACGTCTCAGAGCTGTAATTATCACAACCATCCTGAGTTCACATGAGCTGAAGCTCCTCCGCAGGACTCACCCCGAGCCGAAGCACAGCCGCTCCACCGGACCGGACCGGACCAGGCCGCTTGGTGAAGAACAGAGACCAGAGCTATGACAGACGGCAGCAGGATGGACCTGTGGTCATTATCCTCCTGGTGAAATCCTGCTGGGACGCAGCTGAGCGCTGATGAAGATGCAGACAGAGCAGCTGAGTGGAGGCGGCGGCGTCCCGCTCTGCAGCCAGAGGAGGAGTGGGGC